GTTCGAAAAATATTTTTTCTTCCCGAGAGTCCTACACATCTGAAAAACTCCAAAGGCACTGATTTTGACATGTTAAAAACGAATCAGGAATCAGATTTGGTCCAAGACTTTTCGTTAAAATTTCCAAAAATAGCAATTCATGATAAAATAGGGTAGTTCAGGTCGAAAAATAGTTTTTCTTCCCGAGAGTCCTACACATCTGAAAAACTCCAAAGGCACTAATTTCGACATGTTAAAAACGAATCAGGAATCAGATTTGGTCCAAGACTTTTCGTTAAAATTTTCAAAAATAGCAATTCATGATAAAATAGGGTAGTTCAGTTCGAAAAATATTTTTTCTTCCCGAGAGTCCTACACATCTGAAAAAGTCCAAAGGCACTAATTTTGACATGTTAAAAACGAATCAGGAATCAGATTTGGTCCAAGACTTTTCGTTAAAATTTTCAAAAATAGCAATTCATGATAATATAGGGTAGTTCAGGTCGAAAAATATTTTTTCTTCCCGAGAGTCCTACACATCTGAAAAACTCCAAAGGCACTGATTTTGACATGTTAAAAACGAATCAGGAATCAGATTTGGTCCAAGACTTTTCGTTAAAATTTTCAAAAATAGCAATTCATGATAATATAGGGTCGTTCAGGTCGAAAAATATTTTTTCTTCCCGAGAGTCCTACACATCTGAAAAACTCCAAATGCACTAAATTTGACATGTTAAAAACGAATCAGGAATCAGATTTGGTCCAAGACTTTTCGTTAAAATTTTCAAAAATAGCAATTCATGATAATATAGGGTAGTTCAGGTCGAAAAATATTTTTTCTTCCCGAGAGGCCTACACATCTGAAAAACTCCAAAGGCACTAATTTCGACATGTTAAAAACGAATCAGGAATCAGATTTGGTCCAAGACTTTTCGTTAAAATTTTCAAAAATAGCAATTCATGATAATATAGGGTAGTTCAGTTCGAAAAATATTTTTTCTTCCCGAGAGTCCTACACATCTGAAAAACTCCAAAGGCACTGATTTTGACATGTTAAAAACGAATCAGGAATCAGATTTGGTCCAAGACTTTTCGTTAAAATTTCCAAAAATAGCAATTCATGATAAAATAGGGTAGTTCAGGTCGAAAAATAGTTTTTCTTCCCGAGAGTCCTACACATCTGAAAAACTCCAAAGGCACTAATTTCGACATGTTAAAAACGAATCAGGAATCAGATTTGGTCCAAGACTTTTCGTTAAAATTTTCAAAAATAGCAATTCATGATAAAATAGGGTAGTTCAGGTCGAAAAATTTTTTTCTTCCCGAGAGTCCTACACATCTGAAAAACTCCAAAGACACTAATTTTGACATGTTAAAAACAAATCAGGAATCAGATTTGGTCCGAGACTTTTCGTTAAAATTTCCAAAAAATGCAATTCATGATAAAATAGGGTAGTTCAGGTCGAAAAATATTTTTTCTTCCCGAGAGTCCTACACATCTGAAAAACTCCAAAGGCACTAATTTTGACATGTTAAAAACGAATCAGGAATCAGATTTGGTCCAAGACTTTTCGTTAAAATTTTCAAAAATAGCAATTCATGATAAAATAGGGTAGTTCAGGTCGAAAAATTTTTTTCTTCCCGAGAGTCCTACACATCTGAAAAACTCCAAAGACACTAATTTTGACATGTTAAAAACAAATCAGGAATCAGATTTGGTCCGAGACTTTTCGTTAAAATTTCCAAAAAATGCAATTCATGATAAAATAGGGTAGTTCAGGTCGAAAAATATTTTTTCTTCCCGAGAGTCCTACACATCTGAAAAACTCCAAATGCACTAAATTTGACATGTTAAAAACGAATCAGGAATCAGATTTGGTCCAAGACTTTTCGTTAAAAATTGTCAAAAATAGCAATTCATGATGATATATGGTAGTTTCAGGTCGAAAAATATTTTTTCCTCCCCGAGAGTCCTACACATCTGAAAAACTCCAAAGGCACTAATTTTGACATGTTAAAAACGAATCAGGAATCAGATTTGGTCCAAGACTTTTCGTTAAAATTTTTCAAAAATAGCAATTTATGATATTATAGGGGTAGTTCAGGTCGAAAAATATTTTTTTCTTCCCGAGAGTCCTACACATCTGAAAAAACTCCAAAGGCACTAATTTTGACATGTTAAAAACGAATCAGAAATCAGATTTGGTCCAAGATTCTTCGTTAAAATTTCCAAAAATAGCAATTCATGATGAAATAGGGTAGTATTCAGGTCGAAAAATATTTTCTCTTCCCGAGAGTCCTACACATCTGAAAAACTCCAAAGGCACTAATTTTGACATGTTAAAAACGAATCAGGAATCAGATTTGGTCCTAGACTTCTCGTAAAAATTTCCAAAAATAGCAATTCATGATAAAATAGGGCAGTTCAGGTCGAAAAATATTTTTTCTTCAAGAGAGTCCTACACATCTGAAAAACTTCAAAGGCACTAATTTTGACATGTTAAAAACGAATCAGGAATCAGATTTGGTCCAAGACTTTTCGTTAAAATTTTCAAAAATAGCAATTCATGATAATATAAGGTAGGTAGTTCAGGTCGAAAAATATTTTTTTCTTCCCGAGAGTCCTACACATCTGAAAAACTCCAAAGGCACTAATTTTGACATGTTAAAAACGAATCAGGAATCAGATTTGGTCAAGAATTTTCGTTAAAATTTCCAAAAATAGCAATTCATGATAAAATAGGGTAGTTCAGGTCGAAAAATATTTTTTCTTTCCGAGAGTCCTACACATCTGAAAAACTCCAAAGGCACTAATTTTGACATGTAAAAACGAATCAGGAATCAGATTTGGTCCAAGACTCTTCGTTAAAATTTTCAAAAATAGCAATTCATGATAATATAAGGTAGTTCAGGTCGAAAATATATTTTTCTTCCCGAGAGTCCTACACATCTGAAAAACCCCGAAGGCACTAATCTGACATGTTAAAAACGAATCAGGAATCAGATTTGGTCCAAGACTTTTCGTTAAAATTGTCAAAAATAGCAATTCATGATAATATAAGGTAGTTCAGGTCGAAAAATATTTTTTCTTCCCGAGAGTTCTACACATCTGAAAAACTCCAAAGACACTTATTTTGACATGTCAAAAACGAATCAGGAATCAGATTTGGTCCAAGACTTCTCGTTAAAATCTTCAAAATATCAATTTTATGATTATATAGGGTAGTTCAGGTCGAAAAATATTTTTTTTCCCGAGAGTTCTACACATCTGTAAAAACTTCAAAGATACTAATTTCGACATGTTAAAAACGAATCAGATAATCAGATTTGGTCCAAGACTTCTCGTTGAAATTTTCAAAAATAGAAATTCATGATAATATAGGGTAATTCAGGTCGAAAAATATTTTTTCTTCCCTAGAGTCCTACACATCTTAAAACTCCAAAGGCACCAATTTTGACATGTCAAAAACGATTCAGGAATCAGATTTGGTCCAAGACTTTTCGTTGAAATTTTCAAAAATAGCAATTCATGATAATATAGGGTAGTTCAGGTCGAAAAATTTTTCTTTTTCCTGAGTGTCCTACAGATCTGAAAACTCCAATGGCACTAATTTCGACATGTCAAAAACGAATCAGGAATCAGATTTGGTCCAAGACTTTTCGTTGAAATTTTCAAAAATTAGCAATTCATGATGATATAGGGTAGTTCAGGTCGAAAAATATGTTTTCTCTTCGAGCATCCTACACATCTGGAAAACTCCAAAGGCACTGATTTTGATATGGTGAAAACGAATCAGGAATCAGATTTGGTACAAGACTTCTCGTTATAATTCTCAAAAATAGCAATTCATAATAATTTAGGATATATCAATGTCACAGCAACATATGCAATATTCCTGCAACGCTACATAATCAAACTTCGCCTCTGAAATATTTCTGAACGTCTGTTTCAGTCATTGCTTCAACATTGCATCAACATATAGCTTCTCGTTATCTGATTCAGAAAGTAATTTATTTCGTGTTTTGGTTTTCTCGAAAAGGGATATCCTGTAATGTTCAGAGAACTTCGAGAGAACCAATGGAAATAACGTAGGAATTGGTGTGTTCTTCTTAAATTCCTGGAGGTTATATGCCCTGGGGCACCTTTCTTGGTAATGTGTTCCAAAGCCTCGCTATTCGTTGGATGAACGAGTCTTTGGAAAGAGATGTTCTGCAGGTCTCCAAAGTGACCACGAAGGGGTGCGAAGTCTCAACTCGACGGGTTAATCTCGTGGGGACTGCCAAGGGAGGAACAATTGTTGATATTTCAGAAGAGCATCGTCCATGAAAATATCTATGAAATAGTGCCAGATCGCCAACTTTACTACGGTGTTCCAGAAAAGTGAGTGAACTTGTGAGCGAGGCATCACCCACGAGACGAATTGTACTTTTTTGGACAGAATTCAACAGTTTCAGGGTATGTTTGGGTGCTGCACTCCAAATATGGGAACAGTATTCGAGAACAGGTCAGATCTGTGCCTTATAGATCTTAAGCAGCTGACTGGAAGTGAAATAGCTCCTGGCCCGAAACAGAAAACCAAGTCTTTGGGACATTTAGCAATTGATATCACGTAATTTTCCCAAGAAATGTTATTGCTGATAGTAATACCAAGCATCGAAATGGTTGTCTTCAAAGGTATGGTTACTCCTGACAAGCTTATGTTGGGCACAGCGAGATCGGCCTTTCTTGAGAAAAGGCATGCTTGTGTTTTGTTTGCATTGAAATCTACCAAGTTATTGGATCCTTAATCGAGAATTGTTGGCATTTATGTTGTCAACATTTCTCCCTCGTTCGTTTCTGATTTGCCTGGCTGGTATTGGAGACCTGGAAGAGAAGGCGGTATGGAGGGTACTATCATCCGCGAAGCTGTGTAGTGGACATGAAGTTGCTTTCAACAAATCGTTTATAAGGAGTAGAAATAGTGTTGGTGCTAGAATTGATCCTTGCGGAACACCAGCATCTGAGACATTCTTGAACGTACCTCAAACTATTGTATAGTTGGATACACAGGAAATAAATGTTATGCGTATAAGACACCGCTACTAAAAAAGCCAAATGTTTATCTATGGACTTGCAAAGTTTGTGCAACTTCAGGTAATCTTGTCGCATCTCACTCCAGAATTTTTCGTGCATGATCTGAAAAAAAAATTCAGGAATAGTTTTCTACTGCTTTTTTTGAGTAGGTTTTTCTTACTTTGCTATTTTCCAGGTTTTGGTTGATTTGTTTGAATCTAGCTGTCAGAGCTATACTCATCAGTGTGATGAATAAATCAGTGAAGATCCACGTAAAAGTTGAAATAGTGTTGGCAAACTAAAAAAAAACAGCAATAAGAATCTTCGGGAATCACCTTAACCTTCTTACAAATTAACCGGTTTCAATTTTTATTCATGACAGAGTAGGTATAGTTATAGTTGTTACCTACATATATACAAAGTGTCCCGAAATTGCATCGAAAGATTTCAATCATAGATTCTAGGACCAGAAAAAGTTGAGTTTATATAAACATGGGTTCCAAAATGGTCCCCTGGGATAGCCATCTCTAACCAAATTTTGTACACAATTATGTAAGAACCTAAACTTTTATGACCGATTCGAAGAATTTTCCGAAATTTTGATCAGGGACGTAGGAAATTGGTTCTTGCTCATGTAATTTTCGGTAGTTTGACCAGGAAATATTGAAATCTCAACAATTCTACTCCTAACCGGTACTCTTCTTTGGTTTCACCATTTTTCGAAGTGAATCGATTTAAATATTCTGCTGCGTAATAAAAATAGTACTTCTTCCGAAAAATTATGGTTTGACTTTCAACATCTACCTTTGATGCTTGATTTAAAATATGAGGAGTATATTTATTACACAGCAAACTTTCAAAATCGATTTATCTCGTAAGTGGTAAGTGCTATTGAAGCTAAAGAGGAGCATCATTTTCAAGTGATGAAGATGAAATTCTCATATTTCCTGCTCAAACTCCCGAAAACTATCTAAACAAAGAAGTTTGGGAAAAATGTGTCCCTAGACCCACCTAAGTCCTACAGTAGCGTCTGGGGAGTATACTTGACATAAATTGTAAAATGGTAGGGGGAGTGCATCGTTGCTAGTTATCGCTTCATCGTTCGAGTACTAGCGCCTAGAGACAGGAGGTAACAAATATAATCAGCGAATGAAATCTTTCTTCATACTACCACAGTTACTACGACTCGTGGCGTAGTTGACTGTGCGTTTGAATGCCATGTCGGCGACCCGGGTTCAATGCCTGAGAAGGTTGGCTCTTTTTAATTCTGTTTCCTCAAGTGATTTTCCGAAGAATTCAATTTTCAGGAAGAATAAGGTTCATTTAGGCCGATTCGGGTTAGATTGTTCAAAAACAGTAGTATCCTTTTTTATGCAGGAGGGATATTTTCCTTCTTATCTGAAAAACGTACTGTCTATTTAAGAAGACAGTTCATGTAGGCTGAGTGAGGTTTAAAATGTAAAGTCGGTATATAAACTGCCTAGGGAGAAAATATGTCACATAGTCTCCCTAGGAAATAATACGAGACTTCTGCCCCTCTTCTGTTACCAGAGAAACTAACTTCTACTCCCGCCGACGTAAAAAGAGTATTCGTCTCAATTCAAAATTATCTGAACTCCATTCGGTAGGAATTTCCCTAATTATGGGAATTCTTCAATAGTTTATAGATCCACCTGTAAAAAAATTAAACTTTTTGTTTACCTTGATAATAATTGCTAGCCACACGTTGTACTGTATGAAGGTGAAATAGTTCTGAAAGGACACTTCGAAGTACACTCTGGCATGGCTTTTGTCGTAACCAACACAACCTTGCGATTGGAAAACTCCATTCAAAATGAAAAGCAGATGTTCAACTGGGAAACAAAAAATCATGTGTTCATTGGATTTCCATGCATGTTGATTTCCTATTCATATTCACCCGTTCCTAGTCCAATGAAAACCAAGGTGATTTTCAAGAATTTCCTCCCAATATTTTCCCCCTGCGGATACCCCCGCATTGATACTTCTATGTACGACCATTCCCTCAAAATGCTCGACCAGTGGCGTGCTATTTCTATCAGCTGAACAGATGCCAGGAAATTGCAAAGGTAAAACGCCATCTGAGCTAAAAAAGTGTAGATATGCACTTCGCATTCAGCTGAGATTTTCAGAAGAGGTAGATATCGTGGGCGTACAAGCAGAATCATGTAAGTCCAGAAAATAATAGGAGAAAAACGCAATTGAATATTCGAATCAACCTGTAAAATTATAACGAAATTGACCTAAGTGGATTTTCATTGACTTTATCTCCGGAAACAATTGCAAAATGGACTTGAATGTTTATTTGCCTGGAGCGTTACGCTAATGTGGACTTATGTGTGATAAATTCCTCATTTCCGAAAAAAGTGAACTTACAGGGTTCTGCTTGTACGCCCACGATATTATTATTTATTTTCATTTGGAAGTGATAGTGAAACATTGAACCCACAGGGTGTTTCAGATTTTGATCGAAAGAATTTGCTACTGTTTTTCCGTTAACCTTAAAATACATTCACGTTTATTTAACGGAGCAATTATTCATCGGAATGTAATACATCATAATGTAAGCCATCATCTGAAAAAAATAACCGTATTTCATCAAAATCGTATTCTGACGAAACGGTAATTCAACAAAACCATATTGTCTGGTAATGAAAATTCATCGGAACCGTGAATCCTCATGGTATTGAAAATAATCCGAGCTGTAATTTGTCGGAATTGTATTTTGTCAGAACTACATTCTGTCGAGACATTACAAAATCATAAACGTATTTCGTCGCTACATCCACCTGTGAGAATGGCATTCTGATGATGATCATGTTTTACTGAAGCGACAGTTACGGTTCTGATAGATAACTGACTCGATGAAAAATGTTTTTATACAATGAGGCTTTGACGATTCTAGTGATGCTATGAAATGAGGTTCTGTTGGATTACCATTCATTCATGTTGCACATGGTAAGATTCCTCTCATCAGTAGCTTTTGTATATTTTTTCATCGTTGTTCCTTACAGGTGTTTCATATTATGTGTCTGATGATGGCCGAGTTCTGAAACTACTTACACGCCTCATGTCATAATTTAGTTGTGGTCGACCGACTTTGGGTTTTTTGTATTTTTCCAGTCTCTCGATGGAATAAGATAATGATGAATTACCGTCATGATGGAATGCGGTTCTGATGAATTAAAGTTCTGATCAAAGACGGATCTCATTCAATACCATTCTGATGGATTACAATTTGATGACTTACGTTTTGTTATTATAAATTCCTACAAATTACGATTCTATGTTTTACAATGGGATTAAAAACATCCAAACAGAATATAGTTCCTATAGATTTCAACATAACCCATTTGGAAGAGGGCCATACCCTCATAAGTTTTTTATTTATGGAACGATTTTCACGAATTAAAAAAAAAACACCCTCTTACTCTTTGGTACAGATTGATTCTAGAGGACGCCGATTCCAATGGAGTACGCGGATTTTTTTCTAGGAAAACCTCTAATATGGATTCTGGATTTTTCAGTCTCTGAATGTGATCTAATAGACCTTGCTTTCTTGAAAAGATGAACACCGCTTGGGTCCAAAATACACCTTTCCCACCTCCACATTGCATACAATTTTTTTGTGAAAATCGTGCCATAAATAAATAATTCAAATGGGTCACTCTGTATGTTGATACCTCATATTTTGACGTTTAAGGTGTCCCCAAACTTAGCAGGTCAACCACCATTTTGCCTACCTGTCTTGTCTACCACCAGCCCTTCTAAGGAGAATTTGACGATCCACAAGATGGTGCTCACTAATGTCATCACAGCGTTGAACATAGCGTAGAAAACTCTGAAGCTGGTCCATTTGAAGAAAACCTCGTCCGGATTTTTCCTGACATTGTGTAAAGGCATCACCCCGAAAAATTGCGCCATGGCGATCACCAAACTGATGTTACCGTGGAAAGTCTTTTGTTTCAGACTGACAGGTTGGTCGGAGTCCAAAGTGATCGAAATGTCAGATTTGATTCTTTGCAAAACTTTATTCATTTTTCTAGCTTCACTGATATGACTATTTGCATCCAGAAAATAGGTATCCAAAGTTCGAAAACGTCACTATTCAAGAATTCTATAATTTTCAATAGGCACCTACTTCATTTTTGGTAGGTATTATACTGAAGGTTGATGTCAAAATGAATTCTTTGTATCTTTAGTTTGGAATGGACGAGACAGGAATGTCAGGATACTACTATAACTTTCGTTTTTGCAAAGCTCGCTGTTATTTCAATTTGTTTGCTGAATCTTATCTAGGCTCAATATCACGGGTATAGTAAACATTTTGACGAATTGATTATTGATATATGCTGAAAGGATTTGATGGTTTCTGATTGTGTTTCATGAACTGAAACTCAATATAAGAATCATACTATATGCAGATGAGTGTTTTTTTATCGTTGTTTATGAGAGCTAGAAACTCGTTGTTTGCCATGTCAGAGTTGTGTAATTAAATTGTCGATAAAATGATGAAAACACGTTCAAGGATTACGGGATGATATACAGGGTGTTGAAGTGTTTATAGTAATTACTAATGACCCACCGATATTATTTAACTTAAATTTAACTTTTTCAGATGAGCAATTTGTATGAGAGTTTCGAACCTCAAAGTTCAAGCTCGTACACTCTATTATCCATTATTATTTCTGGATACTGGAAACCTCTGATACGAAAAGAAACCATAGATAACACATAGAAGTGTGATATATTCGTCAATAGAGTGTAATAAGTTACATAATACTCACAGGGTGTTTGTGAATAACTGCAGGAGGTTATTGCTTTATTTTTGTGATTTTAGGAAATGGAAATGAATATTAATATTCCCATGAAAAACCGCTTTTAAAAGTTATTGAAAGCTTTCATTTAACTTGCAATGTATGTTTGTATGGATGTATGTATGTTCGGGTGGAATCTTTGACCTCAATTTTGAAGTAGAAATCTTCAACCGATTGAGCTGGAATTTTGTATACACGTTCAGTTTGGATGACAATGCACGATATGGTGTGTCACGTGATTCTAAATCCAATATGGCGGACTATACAAGATGGCAAACTTCATTCTCGTAGGAAATCACTATCATTCCGTGCTCGTTAAACAATATACTATACTTTCGGTCACATATTGAGGATTGATATGATTCATTATCATATATGTATTTTCATCGACTTCAAAGAAACTTGGTGGATTTTTTTGAAGTAACCTGGAGCATCCTTTGGTGTAATCAGATTCAAAATAATATTCACAGTGACGTCACAGTGGTTTGATTTATCGATATTCTTGGTGAATATCATCGTACGCCACAGGTTTTTTTGAGTTCCATATTTTTATTGTGAGTGTTAGTTTTGTATCTCACTTAGTTTTTGAGGAAACAATATTAAAATTCGATTTGACTCCAAATTTTTCTGTAGGTGCTCTCAAGATTACTCAATAACCTCAATTAGAAAGATTTTGAAATTTTGAGAGTTCGTCAGTCTACAATCATGCTGCAATTAGGCATCATCAAAACCTATACAGGAGTACACCCTGTATCTCAAAAACGAAGTTAGGACACATGTTTATATGAACATTATTTCCAAAAATATCAGGAAGAATCACCCCCTGAAGTTTGTCGTATCTTTTCACTAACACCCTGTATAGGTAGGAAACACATTTTCACACAAGTTTTTGTTCAAGATACTAACATACTCTCACTGATATTTTGAGGCAATGATTCTTCGAAAAGTACAGGACTGTTGAATTGTATCAGGACTAGTTCATATGTTATGATTGCAATGCCAACCTGAAAAAAGAAAGTTCACTGGAATTCATATAGAGAAAGGACCAAGGTGATAACTCAACAATCCAGTGTGAGTGGTGTTGAGAGTGATTATTTTACATGCGGAATGCCAAGCCATGCCACGCTGCTGAATATTGAACTACTGATATGAAAGTACAAGGAATTCCGAAATTAAAGGGCATAGGTTCACCAAAAAATCAAAATCCAGCGAATTAACCAATCATTGCTCCCCTACTGACATAGCGGTAGGCGGAGCCTAAGAAAATGAGGAAGGAGCGTATGGAAAACCGCTCCTTTTTGTTAGCCCCACACAGCTTCCTTGCCGGTTGGCCATATTTTTATTTTGAGAAGAAATTTTCAAAGGAATATTCTTGCAATAAGAAGAATAATATTTCTTTCTTGGGATACGCAGGGTTTTGATTGTTCTGAAGATGATTTTTTATGATTATTCCCGAAAACGTATAGGTAGAATATTGTCCATTAATTTTGGATACCTTGTATTACTAGAATTAGAGATCTAAGCATATACCTTCAAAACTAGTCCTTTTGTGATCGTGAAAAAATCATGTCCACCTAGTATTGCTGCGTCAAATTTTATCTGGACAATCATTCTTTCTACCTGAAAATAGTGAATAGTTTTCTATGGAAGTGAAGGGTTTTTCACGTTTTGCATACCTAAGTATTGAAAATACCTATACCTATCCTAGAGGAATCGATTGTTTTTTGTTTTACCTCATTGTGCCAAAGATTTGAAGGAATATTGGCGAGTATGAAGAGGAAACGTTTGCTTTCTTCATTGACTGAGGCCGCATAAATCGACACCATAGCAACCCTGATGATGACAGATCCAAGTGAATACAAGAAAGTGAAACGTCCTATTGGCGTTTCAATTGTCCTGAAAAACGAACAAGTATATTAAATTAAAAAAGGTATCCTTCAATATTGCCTCTTCTATGGATATTATTATTGTTGTCGAGAATAACTGTTTCCTGTGAACGAGATACTTTCCAATCTGAGGCTACCCTGTGGTATATATCAGTCATTTATTTCATTCGCTTGTTACGAAATCCAAAATTGAAATAAAATTATGCATCTTCACGTTCAAATACTTTGAAATTCAATTATATTTGAAATTACCCTGTATCATTTTTACTATACATAAGTATAATAATTTTCTATTCACCCCCCTATTTTTTCCATTGTTCGCGAAGTAGTCGGTTAGAAGGATGACGTAACTAATCAGTCATTTAGAATGATGAATCAAATCAATCAGCAGTATCGTTTTAGGGATCAGAATAAAATTTGAGGTTAGACCCCTTTCACCACCTAAAGTTCCACATCGTAGCAATTCTGACGTCACCTCTGTTCAAATTTTCGTGCGGAAGGCACAATCCCGCGGATTTCAATCATTTAAATTGTTTTAAAGAGGCGTACTTGATTTTTTTCTCGTTTTTTGTTCAATTTTTGCGATGAAATTTCTTGTTAATTAGAAGAATTAGGAAAAATCTGGTATCATGGGAATAATCGTTAGACTGTATCGAATCGATGTACTGATTATGTACTTATTCCAAAAACATCTCGTATATTAAATTCGAGATATAATACCACCTATGTTCGAGATCGAAGAAGCGACGTGCTATTGATCGCCGGAAAAATTGCACAGAAGATGGAATGAAACCAGAAACCAGCGACTGGTGATATGTTTCCATTCCTGTTACGAAATATATTCAATTCATTTCGAATATTTCTTCCAAATTTTATATTTGTTGTGGAAGGCGATATATCATAGAACATTTTTTGATAGTCACCTTTATGTCTCAATGGAGACACGGCAGGTACCCTTACGAGGGGAGAGTATCAACCCTTGGCATCGGTAAACCCTCGTTGCAACCGGGGTAGGTGCCTGATGGGCTAGGTATATACAGTGTTTCTCGTTTAGGAGAAAATTGTTGGCTATCTGTTCAGTTCATTTTTTGAGTAATACAAGAATATGTCGCGTTTCAGCAACAGGATTTGAAAAATAGTTTTCATAAATATTTCAGTTTCTCATTCCATGTAACATTTATGATTTCAATTCCCAATATATTTTGAATTCGAGATATAATACCAACTATGTTTTAGATCGAAGAAGCAACGAAGTATTGATCAACTGAAAAATTGTACAGAAGAGGAAACCAGACCAGATGAACAAATGAATATGAGAATCTACTTTCATAATCATAAATTTTTCTATTCTTTTGCGAACACGAAGCTCATAAAATGAAGAAAATATATAGTCAGGATTACTTCGTTGACATCTATCTGTTAGCATAATTATTTTCTGATGAAAACCAATGTATAAGTATATACTCACTGCAAGCTGTTGAGAAGCTGAAGTAGAATGAAACATATGTTTCCCACATAGCTGTTTATTATCAAAGTTGACAACAGCCTGTTCATTTTCTTACATATCATCGCCATCTTATAATAATCTTCTCTAATCTGGTTATAGAAATGACTCAGCATCTCCTGAAAAACGAGAAACAAATGATGTACTTACTAGAATATAGAATAATACAATTCATAACATGTCGATAGTCAGTGTGGAGTGGAGCTTTAGTAAGTAGGTACTCACTGTGTCTGCTGATATGCATTTTACAATTTCTTCATTTCCTAATGAATTCTCTAAACCTTCGGATATTAGTTTGAATCTTGTGGATATGATGGTACTCATTAAGATTATGAACAAATCCCCAAAAGTCCAATAAATGACAACCAAAATGGCGCTGACCTGCAAAATAATTGAAGTAGAAAATAATTGAACTATTTTCCGAAATTCTCACCAGCAGAGGAATACAAGCCAGCCAGGTGACTAGAGTAAAATGCTGAAAAAGCTTTGGAAATTGATATTTGATGTACATTTCAATTCCAATAGATCCGTGTGAAGAAATTAATGAAACAGGTGTAATACTATGTTCCACTAAAAAATGATGACATGGTTATATTCGCCAAGATTTTTTTCACTAATTCACATTTCATTCTTATAATTCTGATACCGTTTTTCTTTAATCTGAAGATTCTCACCCAATTGATTCAGCAATAAAACAAAGAAAACGATTTTCAAATGCCGATTCAAGTGCTTTGGTGCAGTGTATTTTCGGAAAAGATCGATTTCTAGTTCATGTAATTCCATCATGAATTGTTTCCAACTTTTTGCTATCCGTATCAAACAAATCATGGCAGCACCAGCAGAACAACACACGACAAGTTTAACTACAAACATAAACAGCAATAGAATATATGAATGACTGAATCGAAACAATTCACTTTTGAACATTTACTAATCAAAATAACTAAAAAGAAATGAATTTCAGAGTTTCAAATACGGCCATTATAGAAAGTAGGTGAGAACACACGAGATACAGCCTCAGTAAGTAGCTCGGTACGCACGGTAAGCACATCGCACAGTTTTCGTTTATTCTGCCAGTATAGGTATGACATGATCGCGTAATCGCCGTCAACAGCGGATGACATAACTGTCAAAAATCGAAAAATTTATGATTTTGAGCAAAAACCGATGAATCGAATTGAAAAATATTTTTTTTCGAAATGGCTACGTTATATTGCGATCTCAATATTTGAAGATCATGGTTGATGACCTACAAGTACCTGAATTCAGTTGAGATATTATTCGAATAATCTTGAAACCTCCCTAGGAGAGTTTTGATCAATCATCTCGAAATCACTAAAGTCTGAAAGGGAATTTATCGGCTTTTGCATTTTTGCTCCCCAATTGTACTTTGATTCTCATGAGAAATAAATATATCCCTCTATCTAACTATGAATGGAAATTGAATAATATCAAGATTTTCGTGGTGCATGTTCCAGTGTCAGGAAATTTTCAATAATTTGCTTTGTTGAGAATTGTTCCTGAGTTTTTTTCTCGTATGAAACTTCAATGATTACGAAGTATCTTTTTGTTATTTTCTAACTATTCATAGATGAAAAATTGTTACTCATTCTTTTTCAAGATATGACATTCAAAATTTGGGCTGATATACCGGGTATTATCGCGTATTCATTAGACAAACCAAATAGTTTCCTTGAATGGAAATTTCTGACGCGAATTTCTTCGTAATCGTTTGAAATAACCCTATCAAACTCATCAGTATCGATGAATTCGTTATAATAATCCCTGAACGATTATAGAATGAGATTCAGGGTGTCCCTTATGAAAATCAGAAGTTGGAGTTGGGGGTGAGCATGAAATATTGCAAAATTTTCCAATTCTCGAATCCTACCCCCTTGAATCTCATACCTTCGGATCCCTGGAAACCATTATGGCTTGTCTAAAAATTTCGTTGAAATAAGTACCCGGTGTGTATGACAAATAAAATCGCAGTTTTTTGTACCGTTATCTTCAATTATTGTTCTGTGTTATAAAAAACAGATTCGCATAATTCTAGATGAAATAATAATTGAAGACCTCGGTGCAAGAACCGGGCAACTCCCATTTTTTAAAATGTTGGGGAATCGAAGAAAACTTGATATTTTTGGGAAATTTGAAAAAAATTATGCTAAATGATATGAATCCTTTAGAGTTACGTCAGATAAGCTGTATTTACCTAGATACTAATTTCCATTTACATTGTTGAAGCTGAAAAACAAGTTTGAAAAAATGGAGTTGCCTGTTTCTTGCCCCACAAAGCCAAATTTTTCAAAATATAGTCAACCTCGTGCAATAATTTTGCTTTTGTATTGAAAATGAAATATAAAACGAGCAATATTGTGAACGAAGAGTATTTGGAACATATAGGAAGAATCGCTGACGTTTCCTGCGTCTTGATCTTCGTTACCATTGCCGGAATTTGGGTCCTCTTCGTCAGTTTTTGGAACATATATTCACTCCCCGAATCTTCGAAGGACTCACGTCTACTTTCCGACGACATTACATTGTATTGCATGAAACAAATGATCAAACTAATCACGCCACACACGATGGAAGACGCGGGTAGGCTTGCCGCTGATAACCCCACTCCGACATCTCCCATACTACACGCGTATACATTTCGGTGCTAAAATCGGGTAACTCCTGGAGTTACCCGACTCTTGCACGGTGATGGCTTACATTTCGGTGCTGAAATCGGGTAACTCCTGGAGTTGCCCGACTCTTGCACCGTAATGTGGAATCAGGTAAATCCTTTCCCGTGTTAACTTATTAGAAAATTGTTGGATTCGCTTGATTCTTGCACCAAAAGATGCGCGAGAACAAATTCTAGGTCTTCAATTACTCCTTGTTGATTGTTCAATGTTGGTCGGTACTCACGTGAGGAATTAGTGAAATAAGTGTCATTGGCTAGAGCATAACACGTAAAGTGATAAACACTACCCACCCAATGGCAGAAACAAAGGAAATAAGTAATAAACATTTGAAGTGACACCCAACTAAAATTTAGGGTGCTTGGGTGTTTGTCCCGTACATTCTGGATTGGGAAACACCCAGAGACTTGAAACAACGTCAGAAAATTCCTGAGAACTAGATGAGAAGTTTCCTCGAAGTTTCCTTCTATAGTCGACATTCCACTTATAATTGCAGATCTATGAGGTTAACAAGTTTTTCTCTGTTAGACACCCAATTGATCACGTGATTAATTCAAGCGTTCTGATGTTTTTCCCCCGATCCTTCTGAGCTAAACATGATTGAAAACATGAATCTATTTGAGTAGAGTGGTAGGCGTATGAACCTTTATGTATGTATCAATCATATTAGAACTTGAATAAACAAATTTATGCAAGGTTATTCAGAAAGCACTTAGAAGACAATGCCATATAACGAAAAAATAAAATAAAATTACTGCGCCCATCGTTTACTAACACAACTAATCTTGCTACTTGTTCAGGATTTATTTAAGGCATTTTATGTAATTTTAGTCAATAAAACAAGACAATTAATGACACAACGACAAATGGTCAAATATGGAGGCATACAACAAATTAGTTGCTATGGCAACGGCATTTGTTTTTTTTTAAGACAATGTGATCCATATGTGATCCTACCAGAGTACAGTAGTACAACCCAATCAATTTCGAGTACTCTGATCCTTCAATAAATTTAATTTGTGGGATAAGCGTAAAGTATCAGCAAAAAAGCTGTAATTCGGAAAATTTTAGAGATAAATCAATGAATAAAAAAACAAAATGCTCGCAAAAGAAGCCTCTTTCGTATAGGGTGTAAGCACCTTCTATGCCATTACTCAATTAACACACAGGGTGAGTCAAAAATTAGGAATAAATCATGGTTCGAGTTATTCCACCACCATCAAGGAGGCTTTGAAAAAATTTTCACCTCTTTATTTTTTAAGATTAAGACAAATGCATTACTTACCAACAAATGAAAAAAAATGAAAATCGGCCCACTATTATTTTTTTAAGAAGATAGGTCAAATATCAAGTGCGTCAGTTTTTTTGGAACTGGAGTGTAGTTTCTCTGCAAGACTGGCATTAGAACTAGAAGAAAAATCATTGCATGCCAAGTAGGGCGAGATACTACGAAGGCCTGGAAGGGACACGTGAGATAAAAAAAAAACTCTTCGAAATTCTGAGTTATAACTCGGAATTTTAAAATTCTAAGTTATAACTTGAAATATTGGATGTAAAATTCCGAGTTATAACTCGGAATTTTAAAATTCTGAGTTATAACTCAGAATTTAGGAGAGTTTTATTCATTTAATTTTATGTATCCCTTCTAGGGCTTCGTAAGATTCATTCCTTGGTAATCTACAACCTATTTATTTGGGATTAACGGGAGCATATAATCATTTTGAAATTAAATATATCTGTGATAAGGAGGAAATAAAAATCAGAGTGGGGTGAACAGATTTTTCTGAACTCCATTCGCTATAATTACTTCCACTTGCGTGCAAATCATCAAGAAAACAATACTTCAGGTTTTCATTTCACAAATGAAATTATAGTTTCACGTTAGTGGCCATATTGAATTGGATCAGTACCAGTTCGTACGTCACAACAGCACCAGCGATCTGGAAGACAAAAAATGATATACTCACATTATACAGGGTGTACGGAAAGGTCATGTCCTAAATGAAAGATCTGATAGAATGAGTTGAAATAATGTCAGTATTTTATATGAAAAAAATGTCCATCGCAATTCGTTACGAAGCTATTGACCTGGAAAGTTTGAATGAGAAAATATATTTCATGTATAACTTTTGAACGGTTGATATGGTATCAATGATAATCGGGCAGCTGAATTAATTCGTACTGATGTTCGTTTCGATATGTGATCGGCTGTTCAGTGATTATGTTTTATACGAGATGAGACGAATTTTTTCCGTTTAATGGAGAAATTTTTGAGAGAGGTGATGAATTTGACATTTTGCCTCCACTGTTTGATTCCTTCATTTTCTTCTACTGATTGATATCTTGTACTGTCCAAGAGAAAAATTCAAAAACATATATCTCAACCGTTTCAAAGGTAATAAGAACACTATTTGTTCAATAATATCATGGTAGTTGCAGTCATCCTCACCTATCAACCTCCTACCCTACAGATCAACCATTTAAAAATCTTCAAATTATACCTTGTTAGAGAAGTATTCCAAATCTTTATACAACGGTTTGTTTTCTATACTGTTGCTAATAGTGAATATTACCTGTACAATAAATTTACCTACATTCGAAATTGTTTTTTTTTCTGTATGCCCGTCTATGCCCGTCTACGCATAAATGCACAATGTAGTATATATATGTACACACATTGTACACAGAGGTAGACGAACATTTACTATGAAAAACTTATTTTAAATGAAGGTTAAAGGCCTATACATGTAATACAATAACACAGTACCTACCGCATGACCAGAAATGTAGACAAAAATTTCAATAAACTGTGAATCAAGATGTAACTTGAACCCTTGTACAATTTTATATAATTTTGGAGTGGTTGATCTTTGCGGTAAGAGATCGACAGGTGGCTTGAACAATTTGATGTAAAGAAATAGATTTTCAAAAATAAATATCGACCTGTTCAATAATTTTTTGATATAAAGACGATACTCACACTGAGGACGATGCCTCTAGTTATTCGAAACATTCTGCATCCAGTAAGAGCCACATTGTCAAAATTTATCTGAAGCAATAGACGTTTTATCTGAAAAGGAAAAACCTTTCTACAAAAAACGTTCAGCATTTTGGACATATCTTATGAAGATTTCCTAAAAATGAAAATAGTGAAAAGTGCCCTGGGGTGTTCTAGCCATAGAAAATTTTCCGAAATTCTGATCAGAGGCGTGGGAAATAGGTGGAGCTAGGGCCATTTTTTTCTCTTACTTCTTTATTTATGTAATTTTTGGCAGGCTGACCTGACAAAATGGAAATATCCTCATTTCCACCTAGAAAAAAATCTTGTACTCTTGTTTAGTTTAGTTCGGATACATTGTTTCTAAAAGCCTGCTGCTTTTTTATGTTCTGGTTCACACGAAAAGGGATATCCTGTAATTCTCAGAGAACATCGTGAGAACCAAGGGAAATAAGGTAGGAATTGGTGTTCTTCTTAAATTTCTGGAGGTTATATGCCTCGGGGAACATCTCCCTTGGCAATGTGTTCCAGAGCCTCGCTGTTCGTTGAATGAACGAGTCTTTGGAAAGAGATTTTCTGCAGGTCTCCAAACTGACCACGAAGGGGTGCGAAGCCTCAACTCGACGGGTTAATCTCGCGGGGACTGCCAAGGGAGGAACAATTGTTGATATTTCAGAAGAGCATTGTCCATGAAAATATCTATAAAATAGAGCCAGATCGTCAGATTTTCTTCGGTGTCCCAGAGAGGTGAGTGAATTTTTGAGCGAGGCATCACCCACGAGACGAATTGCCCTTTTTTGGACAGAATCCAACAGTTCCAAGGTATGTTTGGGTGCTGCACTACAAATATGGGAACAGTATTCCAGGACAGGTCGGATCTGTGCCTTATAGATCATAAGCAGCTGACTGAAAGTGGCCCAAAACAGAAAACCAAGTTTCCCAAGGAAGGTTATTGCTGATAGTAATATCAAGCATCGAGATGGATGTCTTCAAAGGCATGGTTACTCCTGAAAAGCTCATATTGGGCACAGTGAGATCGGCTTTTCTAGAGAAAAGTCATGCTTGTGTTTTGTTTGCATATTATATTTATGTCATGATGTGTTTGTCACATCTGATATGATATTTCGAACGTACTTCTATGTTGTATGAAGATGAAGACACAGAATTGAGTATCCCAGCAGGTTCTAAGCTCTCATCATTCACCCAGGCTGCATATAAAGACACAAGAAGGATCTTCAAAATGATGAATACAAATGAGTAAACGAAATATATTCGCCCGAGTACGCCATGTACAGACCTGAAAAATGAAATGAATTTCATGAAAAATGGTTGTTATTAGAGATTGAATGAAGAAAAAACTTACTGTAGACTATTGTAGAGTCTAGTTAGGAAGAAGAATATATTGAGAGAGAATGATAGTAGCACTATATAGGAAATATGTTCGTCTAGTTCCTTACACAAAATCGTTAGTCTATCGTAATCATCACGAATTTCAATCCAAAATTGTACAGATTGATCCTTGAACATAAATTATCAACTTTTGAAGTTATATACAAGGTGTCTGTTTCACATGTGTACAGAGTGAGAAAAACTCTTGATACAAACAAGACCAAGATCAAGACTTAATGAATCTTCCCAAGACCAAGGCCCTCTCTCAAGAGTCTTAAAAAAATAATAATGAACTCTCAAATCTACTCGATGTCCAGGAAAATCTGATGGAGAATGTGATGGCATTTTATTTCAGTTATTTATTTGTCAAATGGTAGGTTTTTAATTTCACTCAAAATCCAAATACATTTTTTAAATTCAGTGTTGCAGTTTCAAAGTTTACAATGGTGTATGGTGTATGTTTTAAGATCACAGTATAGTCCATGCCTCCTCCTATTGAAAATAGAAACAAATTTAATACAAACATTTTATTTGGTTTGCATTTGGGAATATGGGAACAGTATTCTAGGACAGGTCGGATCTGTGCCTTATAGATCATAAGCAGCTGACTGGAAGTGAAATAGCTCCTGGCCCGAAACAGGATACCAAGTTTTTGGAATGCACTTTAAGCAATTGATCTCACGTGATTTTTCCAGGAAAGGTTATTGCTGATAGTAATACCAAGCATCGAAATGGATGTCTTCAAAGGTATGGTTACTCCTGACAAGCTTATGTTGGGCACAGTGAGATCGGCTTTTCAAGAGAAAAGGCATGCTTGTGTTTTGTTTGCATTGAAATCTACCAAGTTATTTGATCCCCATTCGAGAATAATTATTGTTGTCCATATTCATGTTGTCAACATTTCTCCCTCGTTCGTTTTTGATTTGCCTGGCTGGTATTGGAGCCCTGGAAGAGAAGGCGGTATGGAGGGTACTATCATCCGCGAAGCTGTGTACTGGAGATGAAGTTGTTTCCAACAAATCGTCGATATGGAGTAGAAATAATGTTGGTGCTAGAATTGATCTTTGCGGAACACCAGCATTTATGGTGAGAGAGTCAGATGAAACTCCGCCGACCACTACATGGAGAGACCTGTGTGAGAGAAAACTAGCTAGCAGAGATCATAGCTGGGGAGGCAAGCCATGAGATGGAAGCTTGGCGAGGAGTCGGTGGTGCCAAACTCGATCGAATGCCTTGGAGCCATATTGCCTTTCGTTGATAATACCTGGATGTTCCAGGTATTTCATGAGCTCGATGTTGATAGCTTTCTCCACGATCTTTGAAATAATAGATAGCAGTGCGATCAGTCTGTAGTTGCTAGGTAGGGTCTTTTTGCCTTTTTTAGGAACTGGTTGTACTGATAAGTCTTGATCTTGGTCTCGCAAAGCCCTAGTTTGTGGATACCTGCTTGTAGTGTCTCTCCAATTTATCAGTTATTTGCTTGAATCTGAGAGCTAGTGCAATGCTTAACAAAATTATGAATAAGTCGTTGTATGATAACACGATTGAAGCATGAACTGTCAACAACTGAAAAAAAATATATAGAACAGGATATTTTGAAAATGTCGACCAAATTTCACTTACCGAACTATAAATGGCACCGTAGATATTTAAGGGTACAAATAAAAACAGTTGAGGAAATGTAGCTCCATAGTACATCTCGAATTCATACAGGTCTTGATATTCGTGCTTCAGATGACAATATCGACTACTAACGTGTAAGGTATATTCAGCTATAAAAAAAATTTTGAAACGTTCACAAATTATATGACTTTTACAGAATTCCATCAATTAGATGTCGTAATAATTCGGAATTGTCATCAATACATACTATAATTTTTCTTTGATATGTGGTTATCGCATATGTTCAATTTGTTTTCTTCTCAGAAAAAAAACTCATTTGATGTTCTTGAATGCGATGGTGAAACGTTCTATTTGTCTGACCAATATACAGGCTAATTCACGGCGGATGGCACATTAGACGTTTCTGAATGTTTGACAATATTTTTTTTATCTCTTGGATTGTACCTAGGGAGAATAGGGGTAGGCCTTTTGAGCCACTTCAACGCTATTTTTCATGTTAAGCCAAGCATATTACTACTTCAGAACTATATTTTTTGACGTTTGTAGAAAAAAAATTGTTTGCAATTCGTACGCGAAATTATTTCATCAATTCAATTCAATTCAAAATTACTTTATTGTCTCAAGAATGGTAGTTCTTATTGACAAAGTGTTAGGGTGAAAAACAACAAACATATCATTTGAACATTCAGGCCACATAGGGAAGACTACGCGATATATACATAAATACACATGAAATTCATCACATACATTTGTAGTGCAGACCACTACACGTCAATTTCACAAGGTCAGACGGCAATAAAATCTAAAAACATAAGTACATCATCTCGAATATTTTTTTAATTCGGCTGCGCCTCGTCAAAAAAATCCTTTTACGATCACCAAGGTAGCATTTCGCGCTCTAGATACAAAAATAACCGTTTCGTAAATTTGACCAACAACTGTCAATTGACCTTATTTCATATTTTCAAAATGAATCGTATATTTAGATGAATGGTAATGATATATTGGTTCCCCTAAAGCATATTCGATTACGTCATCTATACGTATCTGTACCAACTCACTCTGTTTTTTTGATATACTTCTCTTACTTACACATAGCTAATAGCAGGAATACGATGAAAAATATTTTGAATCTCCTGTCCAAATCCTCCGGATATCCATAATGACTATTCATTATCTTGTCCATTCGACACCATGACGTCATCAAATTCGACCAAGATTTAGCCAATCGCAGATAGAGGATCAAACTCACAGTTGATGCAGCATAAAATATTTGAGTTTCTAGAAAAACTCATCGTACAAAAAATGTACAGCGTCATTACGTATATTTAAACAGCTTCTACAGGTTTGTCATTGAAGATACAGGAAAACTTTGAATGCAAAAGTTGTAGAGTTTGTTCTGAACTCTCAGAAAATTATACCAGATGAAACAAATGAATATTGCTGATATAAGAAATGGGTACCAACTTCGTTATTTTCAAAGGAACACCCTATATATTTTTCGAAAAAATTCAAGATCATTCCTTCCTGATTCCAAAAATATATTAGTCATTGATATTCGGTCCAGCCGTTTCCGAGATATTCGTGGTTGAACATTTTAGATTTAGTTTCAATTTGATTTCACCAAATCGCAATTGCCATGAAGAAAAAACAACACATCAGTGATATTCATTTGTTTCATCTGGTATAATTTTCTGGAGGTTTAAAACAAATCCTACAACTTTTGCATTCAAAGTTCTTCTCTATCTTCAATGATAAACCCTGTAGAAGCTGTTTGAATATACGGAATGACCCTATACTTGATGTTGTGTTCTTCTTGGATATTTTGACTCACCGAAATCCTGGAAGTGATAGCCGACTTGAAACCATGCCAAGAAACAAAATATCACCGCTGTCGATGTCAAAGTGCTCATTATCAAAGTATACAACACTCTGTAACTTCTCCATTTGAATTGCATATCCTTGTAGCTCTTGCATATATTTTCCTGTGGTAGTATCCCTAGTAGCTGAGAGAACACCAAGAAGAACTTCAAAGAGTTGTGTATGTTTTGCTCGCTTTCATTTTTCCTTGATCGTTTTGTCGAGCTCAGATCGGTTATTTTATTGCTTCCGACTACGAAAACCATTTTTTCAAAAGAAATTCAGCGCTGCTTCGGACGAAAATCGATTGGGATTCTCCTTTGTGGAGTGTGTATTTTAACGTTCCGTGGTGTTTATTCCCGATTTTCAAGTTGTTTTCTTTGGATAGAGCATGCGTTTATACATATTTTATCAATCATTATATATACAGGGCTATCGTCTATAGATTCATGCACATTTTTGGAACCATTTATATGGAAAATCACTATAGTCCTTTCCAATAGGCCCATTTTTTTAATAAGTAGAATATGAATAATTATTGTAATTTGGCTTATTGAATAAACGTATTATTATTTAAAATCATACAAGTGGTGTTCTGATGGTTCAATAACCGTAACTATCAACTAAGATCTATTGGAATTCAGACATGATACCACAAACATTCAAAAATGAAGTCTCATACTTTTTTTTTTTTTTGAACAATGGATACTTGCTATTTCCATAGACCTTCAATCGCAGATTCTTGATTTCAGATTTTCTCAATTCCGAATTTATTTCCACGTCCTGTATGATGAATATCAATTTATCATACATTCAAAAACAAATGCACCCAGATGACAGGAGTATGTCAACAAATCATAATTCTCAGATGTCAGTTCGATTTAGTTATATTATATGGAGACGAAAATTGTGTATATCATGGAGAATGGCTGAAAGACGTGGCAAATGGCCAGGAAAGTAGTTGTTTTCTGTTGAATATCCAGAATGACATTATGTACATATACCTATATGAAGGAAATTGCAAATTTTCTACTTCAGAAGATTTTGTTTTCAAATTCTTATCGTGTGTGTTCAATAGATATAATTCAGTGTTCGTCGTGGCATATGGCCAGGAAAGTAGTTGTTTTCTGTTGAATAAACCGAGACAAAATTTATATTTTCATCACATAGAGAATGCGAATTCCCAATGAATCTTTTTGTATTCATATTTATATCTGAGAATATTCCTTTTTAATGTCCCATTCTTGTTCAGCAGCTCAAATATTATCAACTTCTAATACCACCTCGTATACCTCGTCACGAAATTCATGTGTTCAGGCCACTTAGAAGTGACAGAAGGAAGGAAATAAACAGCTCAACCCATTCATTTCTATAAAGCGGAAACGATTAGACCAATAGTTTGTTTACCAATCCAACAGACCACTGCACAATCGAGCCATGAAAAAATACCCAGCTACCTCACCTATCCACTCGGCTTTCAAATGGACGATTTTCATATACCAAATGTTTGGATTCTTTCCTGTGAGCGGTATTTTTGCTCCCAATATTTCCAAACTGGAATTTTCCTGGAGATTTCTGAGAACAATTTACGCGTTGTTGACCGCAGCGGGCTTCGCTTTTATGGGCTGCATCCAGCTGGTGAGGTTCTGGATGTACCCCGTACAAATGCTGGATGTTATGAGGATCTGGTACTTTCTCAGAGCTTTGGGGATCAGCATTTTCTTCATTCACATGGCTAAGAGTTGGAAGGGTTTCTTGAAGAAGTGGGTTGAGGTCGATAGGGCTATGAGAGGGTACGGAGTGCCCAGAAGATTGAACTACAGAGCGAATGTTTTCAATGTGATATTCATTGTTTCGTTTATAGGTGAGTATTTTTTCGAAGCAAATTAATCCGAAGGAAATCATTTTTGCAGAATAAAATTTTATTTAAATATTGGCCGTGAGAAGCTTCGATTTGGAGATACAGAGCGTTGAAATTGAAAATAAACGAACAATTATTTCTACAAACATCTTTTATACAGTGTGTCCCACTAATCATGCTCACCATGGGTATCTTTTTAACGGTGAGAGATACGAGGTCGGTTAAATGACACCAAATGTGGAGTTTGTCAAGGCCAACTATAATGTGAAAAAATATTTTGATAAAATCTATTCGTTTTTGTTTTATTCGCAAAAAACAGATTTTGATCATTTTCATGTGTCCTCCGTAACTTCTTTATTTATGAAAATATTCAAATAGAAATTCCACATTCTCATGGCAGTTTTCCAAAGTGATTTCGAAAAGAATATGAAATTTATACCAACTCTTCTAGAATTTGAGATATCAGCACCAACTTTAGTTTTTCAAACGTAGGTCATAGCTCACTATGACATAGTTACAAATAACTTTTTTTTCTCTCACAGATGATATGTCACAGTAATAGTTTTGTGTTGATAACAACGGAGTTATCGTCATTTAAACAGAAACAGAAAACTATTTTGAAGCCGCCATCTTGAATTTATAAATTTCAACAGAAAAATCATGATCTCCGACCTCAAAAACCCCCACTTACCAATTTTGAATGGAATCGGACCAAATCTTGTCCGCCATCTTGGCGCAGCCATTTTTTTTAATTTCAACAATAATTCCATAATGTATTGTCAACGAAATTATGAACACCTGCCAAATTTCAAGTTAATCGGAGTCATGGAATTTTTGTTGACATTAAAAAAATGGCTGCTCCAAGATGGCGGACAAGATTTGGTCCGATTCCATTCAAAATTGGTAAGTGGGGGTTTTTGAGGTCGGAGATCATGATTTTTCTTTTGAAATTTATAAATTCAAGATGGCGGCTTCCAAATAGTTTTTTGTTTTTGTATAAATGACGATAACTCCGTTGTTATCAACACAAAACTATTACTGCGACACATCATCTGTGAGAGAAAAAAAAGTTATTCGTAACTATGTCATAGTGAGCTATGACCTACGTTTGAAAAACTAAAGTTGGTGCTGATATCTCAAATTCTAGAAGAGTTGGTATAAATTTCATATTTTTCTCGAAATCACTTTAAAAAACTGCCATGAGAATGTGAAATTCCTATTTGAATATTTTCATAAATAAAGAAGTTACAGAGGAGACATGAAAATGATCAAAATCTGTTTTTTGCGAATAAAACAAAAACGAATAGATTTTATCAAAATATTTTTTCACATTATTATTATTTCCATAAATAAAGAAGTTACAGAGGAGATATGAAAATGATCAAAATCTGTTTTTTGCGAATAAAACAAAAACGAATAGATTTTATCAAAATATTTTTTCACATTATAGTTGGCCTTGATAAACTCCACATTTGATGTCATTTAACCGACCTCGTATCTCTCACCGTTAAAAAGATACCCATGGTGAGCATGATGAGTGGGACACACTGTATATTATTGTCATGAAAAAACAACAACAAAAAATATGGTCCAGTTTGATTTTTCCGTCTTCACTCGGGAACATTCTTCCAATAAAAATGGACATTCTTCTATATTTCATAATAAAATTTAAAAATGTTTCATTAATACCTGTTTAATACGTAATAAAAACATTGATAGTGTCCTAACGATGTCACTGGTACTTTTTTTTTCTATCGCTTGGAGCGCACGAAAGGAAATCCCTATAATGTTCAAAGAACATCGTGCGTTCCTAGGGAGGATAGGGATAGGAGGTAGGTATTGGAATTTTTTTGAACTTCTGGAGATTATATGTTGTTGGGAATACTTCCTCAGGCAATGAATTCCAGAGCCTAGCTGTTCTATGGATGAAGGAGTTTTGATAAAGTGCTGTTCGACATCTTTCGAGGTTGACAACGATAGGATGTGCTGACTGGGCTTGTCTAGTTCGGCTGACTGGTATTGCTAGTGAAGGGATACTGATTACGAAAGTACTATAACTCACAGCTATTTGGTATGTCACCATGTTTTTTTGGGCGGTTTTATAGTGATTGAAAAAAAAATCGACTTTTTCTTTCAATTAGAACGCCCTGTATCTCGAAAAACGAAGCATCTTACGACCAATCATTATAGAAATGTTTCTTCTTGAAATAGGGGGTTAATTGTCGATATTTTGATACACCAACCTGTATGCACTTAAAACAAGTTTTAGAGCGAGAGCGAGAGCGAGAGCTAATCTTCATTTCCTTTCTAGTGCTAGTATTTTGAGTATATTTTTGCAGTCTACAAAACTATACATCATAGGTTGATATATCTGAGATCATATAATTGGTTGGTGGTATTCTCTAAGAGTAGGTGATTCGTTCTTTGTTTGACTTGAAAATTGCTGTAGAAACTTTTTTCATACT